ATAAAAGTATGATATAAAAGTAATAAAAAAAATGACGAAATAATTAAAAATAATTAATTAAAATAATTAAAAATAATTACATTTTCCTTATCGTAAAAAAAGTAATATAAAAGTTACTTTTCTAATTATAATAACAATTATTAATTTATTAATACTAATATTATTAATACATTAATAATTATCATATTATTATATAATATAGTACAATAATGTTAATATTAATATCAATATTAATGGTAATATATTAATATTACCATTAATATTGATATTAATATTAACATTATTGTACTATATTAACATTAATATTAACAATATTAATTTATATTTTTATCATTTTTCGAATAATTGTCTGTTGTGAGTTATGACGCATATTCATGATTCAATGAGAATATTCAATGAGAAATGCATCTTGAATATGTTCTAATATTTCGGCAAGTTCAGATTAGTAGGCGTTTCTGTTCGCGTGCGTACACACATTAAGTTTTTCATTTCTTCGATTTATCTTAAATTGAAGATCATGACTATAATAATGATGACGATAACAAAAAGGTAGAATAATGTTAAGTGAATCATAATGTCCTTTTACAGTAGCGCGACAAATCCATGTATAGCCAGTAAAAACGCGTGAAGTGAACCGTAACAATTTTGCGTAAGAAATTTGCACATCTATTCACTTGTCATAAGCGAAAATAACGACACTGTCGATTGTAAGCAGGAGTTATCTTATATGTGCTGTTTTTTTACATCACAGACGTTTCAAAGTTCAAGGTGTGTTCAAAGATAAGAATATACGTATAATGAACTTAATCTATACAAATATCGAGAGGAATCTGTCACTTTACTGAAACCGTAATATTTTAAAGATGCGCAATAACGTCAATATAATGTATAATAATAATGTAAAATGATGAAGTATATAAATAAAATTTGTGTTATAATAACGTACTTATAAATTTGCGTTTTAAATTTTGACAAAACAATGTAATCAAAATATTGATTGTTTTGTTGTTCATATTTCAGGTGACGCGCAAATAATACATCAACAACATGTCTACGGTAAGCATCCATTTCGCAATATAATTCTGTTATTGCATATATTTATAATTTATTCACATCTTTATTTGCATCATAATTATCTTGCGCAACTCATTCACGCTATTGATGTCATCTCATCTCATGTCATTACAATAAACACTTCATTGTATCTTTTTAACATAGACCAACGCAAACGAGAAGCCACCGACAGAGTTGGATACCTTCCTCCCCCAAGATGGATCCAATCTTAAGGATGGCGTTCTGTCTGCTAAGTAAGACTCCGATTAATTTTATTGAAAATATTAATCGAGAGAACAAAATGTGATTTATAATGCGCAAACGTACGAAATGCGAATTGCTAAAAGTTTTGTATTCATTTAACTCTCAGATATATAGTACAAGTTGCTCCACGTGATGTTGAAGTCACACTGGGCGATAAGAAGAGTTTCGATCCCTTTGCGGAACGCAAAGTCGATAATCCGACAACGTAAGAATCAACGTCATTCTTTTAATAATAATCTCGTAATACACACGCATATACACATAAATTTAGTTTTATCTTTGTTTTTATGTACTCTTTTATATTTATAAAGCGAATTTTGTGATATATACTATATATTTTTATTTTAGTCGTTAATTTTTAATGATTTGGATTGATGTGATTAATGTGTGAACAATTATATTATGATATTTTCAGGGATTGCGACACGTTAACGCACTTATTAAAAGCTTCTCTTGGCACTGGAATACTAGCTATGCCCATAGCTTTTAAGAGTGCTGGACTACTTTTAGGTATCTTTGCCACGATACTTGTTGCATTCGTATGCACGCATTGCGCATATATTTTAGTGAGTTTCTAGAGATAAAGATTCATATTTAGTCGTGTAATTATCACTATAGATAACTTGATTTCATCTTTCATAAGCTAGGATTGATTAACGTCTCATTTTCAGGTCAAATGTGCGCATGTGCTCTATTACAAAACTCGAAAAGCGGAAATGGGATTTGCTGAAGTTGCCGAAACAGCTTTTAGTATCGGACCGCAATGGGCGAGAAAGTTCGCGAAACCTTCCAGGTTATTAACTTTGTTTTTCGAACATATGATTAATTCTTTAGCAATTTTTTTAATTAGCGAATTTCTCGTTTGTTTATAGATATCTCATACAGATTAGTTTATTTACTACATATTACGGTACCTGCAGTGTGTATGCAGTAATCGTGGCCGCTAATATTAAACAGATTATCGAGCATTATCAAGATGTTAATGTTGGCGAATACAACATTCGTTTGATCACTGCTTATTTGCTGGTACCGCTGATCCTTCTTAGTTGGATACCCGACTTGAAGTATCTCGCGCCAGTTTCGATGGTGGCGAACATTTTTATGGGAACAGGATTGGGAATAACATTTTATTATCTCGTTTGGGATTTGCCGCCATTGTCCTCAGTGCCTTTAGTAGCTACAATCGAAAGCTTCCCGCAGTTTTTCAGCATCACTATCTTTGCTATGGAAGCGATTGGCGTAGTGATGCCTCTGGAGAACAGCATGAAGACGCCGCAACACTTTGTAGGAATTTGCGGAGTTCTCAACAAAGGAATGTCTGGTGTTACGCTTGTATATATTTTTCTTGGGTTTCTCGGATATGCTAAGTATCAGGATGAGACGCTGGGTAGCATCACTCTAAATCTACCAACAGAAGAAATGTAAGAGTTTAATTTGACAGAATTGTAAAACTTTTAGTCTTATAATAGCATATATCATTCAATTTGATTTTCTACATCTCTATCGGTAACTACTTTACAGAGCGGCACAAGTTGTGAAGATATTGATTGCCTTAGCCGTCTTTTGTACTTTTGGTTTACAATTCTACGTGTGCCTCGATATTGCATGGAACGGTGTAAAACATCGTTTTAAGAAGAAGTCGCTTTTAGCCAATTATTTCGTAAGGACGGTGCTAGTAATAGGCGCAGGTATGTGTGTATTCAGATCTTATATACATTCTAAAAATATCTTTTAAGTACAAAATTGATGATGTATTATGGAATAACTATTCATACAGTTCTCCTTGCTGTGGCCGTGCCGACAATCGAACCGTTTATCGGCCTAATTGGTGCATTTTGTTTCTCCATTTTGGGCCTTCTTATTCCGGTCTTTATTGAGACCGTAACTTACTGGGATGTCGGCTTCGGACCGGGAAACTGGGTAGCCTTGAAGAATATAATTATATGCGTGATAGGTCTGATGGCATTAATATTTGGATCACGTAGTGCTATAATGGATATAGTAAAATTGTACAAAGCTTGATAGACAAAACATTTTCCGTTTTTTATCTAGTACAAATATTTCTATGATATACAACAAAATTTTCTATCAAATTTAGATCTATCCATGGTATGACTAACGGTGTTAAATATATTATATACTTGCAGGTAGATTTTATTGGAATTTCACAGAATCGAATGTATTTAAATTGTATATAGGTCAAATTTTCTGATATATTTTTGAGATTTCAGACTCTTATAAATATGAATTTTTTTTAGATCCACGCTGATTTTAATAGGGTCTTTTTATAGAAAATCAGTATATTTTTTTCTATACTTATATAAATAGAAAAACTTATAAAATTTTTTGACTAATTTTTAAAATAACATACGGATATTTTATAGGACAGAAATTAAAAGCAGATTTAGATTTAGGGGCAACAGCAGTATTCATTTAACAGAAAATGCAAAATAATGAATTATCGTGAGCGTAATGTGCGAATGTATCCTAAAGAATGCGTGAAGTTTCTGTAGGAAATAATTGTTATATTATTGGAATGTTTTGTTATTTAATTTTACATAAAAGTTCTGCATACAAAATTGTAATTAAAGAAGTTTTAGGCTAATTTATCAATTTATATAAATTATTTTTACAATCTTATAGAAAGATATGAATAAAGTAGCATGTTTAAATTTTATTTAATAAAATTTATTAAATAAAATTTAAACATGCTACTTTATCCATATCTTTCTATAAGAAATTTTATTAATTTCGTTCAAATGTTGCAATTTAATATTATATTAATTTATATTTTAATATTTGTTATTTTAATAATTTGTATTTTGCAAAATTATTATATAAAAATTAATATATTTTTATGAAAATTGGAACCGTAAAAACTACAGAGTTTGCATAAAATGAATGTGTGTTATCTGTGAAAAAAAATATATTGCTCAAGCAAAGTGTATCACACAGCCTTCCTGCATTGCATTTAGAATTAACATCAAAATATACTTTTCCGAATTGATATATGTATAATGTAATAAGACAAGGCAAAACGTTGCATATAAGAGTGATAGCATATTGAAAACAACCAATCAAATTTGGATCCAAATGCAATTTCCTGCATATATAATAACAGTAGCTTACTTAGAACAGTTAACCAAATTTGGATTCAAATTCACTCTTCTACATTCGCGGAAACGTTTCATCTTGTATTTTTACATCATAGATTATATAGGAGACATGTAATGTATCGTTTCTCCTCTTTTAGCGGATGAAAGTTTGTATCAATATAAATGAAACTTTTGCTATTTGTAACGCATTGCACTGGCTGAAGTTATATAAAATATAAATGATTTTACATTTTGTAAAGACAGCTTTATTCCTCAAATAATTTTTCCATTTTTTGTCTTACATGAAATATCATGGATGTAATATTGTAATATGAGATTTTACATAAAATATCAATGTAATAGAATTATGTTTTGTTATCATCACCAATTAAAAGATAAATAATTTGAACATTTTACAAATAAAACATTTTTTATTTTTTTCCTTGTAAACTTATAAGCTATATTATTAAAATATAAAATATTAAGACTATACAATAGAGTAACTTTAATTGTTTTTTCAATATATATTATAGTTACATATACACAGTCAGGTATCTTGTAAGTGCTCCAAAAAAGATCCAATTAATGTCGGCATAACAAATAAAATTTATTTCTCTAGCGGTGCATAGTTAAGTAATTTTTCAATTAAATCTACATGTCCAAGCAGCATCCTACGACAGCAGTATCTTTTCAAACCTAGCGCATCCAAAGCATCTCTGTAACATACATATCATCTTTATAATCCTATCTTTTTGTCGTTTTAATATATTTTATCTATATATAGGCAAATTTTTAAATCTATTGATCGATCAACTGCATTATACATAAATACTGTTTTTACAGATTAAAATTGCATTTGTGCTTAATTCGATAAATTAATCATTAGCTGCATTCAGCAGAACATTTATTTTGTAACTGTTGGAAGTTTTCAACAGACAATCATAAAACGGTTGCGAAACTGTCGTGTTCTGCAGCCAATGACTGCATTCAGTAGAATGTTTATTTTGCAACTATTAAAAGTTTCTTCACTGAGATAGAATAATTTCTCTAGACTTAAAAGTATAAATAGTATAAAGAAATATAGTCGCAAAATAAATATTCCGCTAAACGCGGCTAATGAATTAAAAAACTCGTTTATTATCGTTAAAATAAAACAAAAGATGACTTAATTATTAAAAAAGGCACTCGTCAATTGATGATTCAGTTTCGAGGTTAGAAATAAAAACAAAACGCTCTTACCCTTCGGTATACTCCGCTTGAAGAAGTCCCAGATATGCTTCCCATTTATTTCCAATGACTTTTCCGCAGGTGAAGCATCGCACAGGAATGATCATCGTGATAACTCTTGATTTGTAGCTTGATTTCTTATGTTTTTCGCAACGACAATCTGAATTCCATGCACATGGAACGTCATAAAGCTTCGTTATATTGGAAGCGCCATTGCAGTGCAGTCAAGTGCAGTTAAATCTGCGAAAAGGTTCAATAAAAGGTTGCCACATCATTTTCAAAACTAGAATTTACAGGTCAAATACCCCGGACTTTCGCTTGCAAGCATACAAAAAAATGCGCGTTAGGCTGATTAGTCTGACTGCGTTAAAAAAATTGCTAATTGTAATATTTAATCATACCTAATTTCTTAATTATTATAATTAAATATTTTACGTAACTATTAATTAAAAGTGTTATATTTTAAATAAATAATTGAAATTTGTAGAAAATGGACAAGAAAAGCAAAATAATATCTAGTAATAATAAGTTTTGCAGTTGGTAATCCAAATGATTAAGCATATTGACAAAAATAAGACGATCGAATATGATCGCGGTTGAGTTTCTATAAATTGTTGAGAAATTTTTTTATTTTGTCATCCATCAGACGAAATAAAGACGCGAATGCCTTTCGAGAGAACGGCTAGATGTATCGACAAGGTATTTATTAATTTATCCTTCAACTTATAATTATTAAGATGTAAACTATAGTTATATACTAGTTTATCATAGATTATCTTATATCTAAAACCGTCTTAAATATGTCTTAAGATAATTATAAGTCAATCATGCTTATATAAAACGGTCATAAGCCAATCACATTTAATTATTATATTTATATTTTTTAATTTTATTAAGATGGTTTTGAAATAAGAACGCACTATTGAGTACCGATCGTAAAAAACTAAAAAATTGACATGGGCGCAAGTAGAGATTTTTCTCAAAAGTGGTAACAATACAACAATGCTCACTCTATTGTTTCGGAAATTTCGGCGTTTTTTAAATAAACTCCAGCTTGAAAAAAAATTGTGCGTGGCGGGAGAGCTAAATCTGATGCCCTTTTTAGAAGTAGCTTTCTTTCTCTCTTTTCGAGATGAAGAGAAAAAGAGGCGACAAATAAATGATGCATAGCTGAAAAGAATAGACCTTTTGCTTTAAAAATGAGTTATATGAGAAAGCAATATTTTAAAAAACAATACTATACATATAATTGCATTTAAAAAAATTAAAGTTTTCAATTAGTTAATGTTTTTCTCATTCTTTTGTGAGTGTATAATTGGATTATTTTATATAATGTATATTTTCGAGAAATAAATGTATGTGTGTGTCGCACTTGCATGCCCCCTCCCCCCTTTCTCTGGGCCGTTCGCGATCATTAGTATAGATTAAAATTTAGATTAACTCATAATAATATAACACTTATTTTATTATTCCTTATTATCCTGATGTTTCGTAGACAGATGTTCGGTAGATCGATTTATGGTCGTGTCTTTAGAAAAGACAATTAAATTAATTGCTCACAAAAGGACTGTCATCGAAAGTAAAGTACATTTAATTAATGTACTTTAAATATGTTGTAATTGCAGGGCATCAAAAAGTATTCATATTTTATTATCTGCTACTATTTCAAAGTTTAGAAACAAAACATTTAAAAAATAATGGATTTTTTATTTTGAGTTAATATTTGCAAAATTATGAAATATATGTATAAAAAAATGTCTTATACAATTAAAAGTTTTGTAGTACTTCATATTCTTAATAACGGTGTCAAATTTTTTAATTTATTCCTAGGGGTTAATTTCGATTCCTAAACTTTGAGATAAGCAATTAAATAAATAAATTTAGTATAATAAAAAAGGGGCTACGAACCAAAAATTATATTATTTCATTAGTAATTACAACAAAAAGATATATTGAACATAAATTTGTCAAATTATTCAACGTAAATTTGAAATTTTGAAAGAATTTTGAATATCAAATGTTCCATTGTAAACGGATAAGGATTGTTTCTATTAAAATAATGAAGCAAATTTATCAAGATATAATAACTGATAGAGATAATGCATTATAGAATTAATGACAGTTTAATTATATAACGATCACCGAGATATTATATTCAAATTTTTAATTTAGTCAAAGTTAAATTATATAAATTACCTTCATATTAAGAGAGTCTGATACAGAAAGTGCAATTAAGTTTTTTGCAATTTATATTATAGGCAATAACGATCAGAATTAAAGTTATTGTTATTACGTCGGTGCTTTAGGATCGTTGTGACATTCAAAGAATTATAAACGTTATGAGAATGTTAAGGAAAGAAATTTTCTGAAAAGGAAATGTGTTAAAGAAGGGACATATGATAATATTATTTAATGCTCCACAACATATCCAAATGTAAGCGCATCAAAATCAGTTCCCTTAATTACTCACTGTAACGCAGTCATTTGTTAAAATTCATGAATGAATCAATCAATGAATCTCATTATTAATTCATTTTAATAAATTAATCATTTCATTTTATGAATCATTTCATCCTTGTTTACCAGTAAATTAATCATCCGTCTCTCGCTAGAAAATGCCATGTCAACAAAAATTGTATCGATGATCGATAATATTTGCATAGCAACGAGCATGATCCATGTACGCGGTACGCCACACTTCCTGACACGGCCGCCATTTCTCCGTGTCGAGTACACACTGAACTCCGAATAATCCGAACCGAACTCCAAAGTGGAGCCGCGTCGCGGGTCGCGGGTCGCGGAACAGCTGCGATCGAAGGGGCCGCGATGGCTGGCGGGAGCGCACGCTTTCGCGAAAAGGGGGGCGACCGTCGACCGATGGAGTTGCGTGATGAAGGGGGATAGGAGGAACGAGAGGAGGAGGAAGAGGAGACCGCGTCGCGATCCGGATACTTAGTAGTGGTGATAGGCACGCACACGAGTAGTGGAGAGGAAAGAAGCCTGCGATAGGGGAGAGAATGAGGAGAGAACGAGAGCTCGCGTCGTAAACACGAATGCACGAACGCACGCACGCACGCACGCACGCACGTATTCATTCCCGCACGTACATACGGCAGCACGGCCAGCCGGAGCAGATGGAGTGGACTGTGTGCTTTCTCCTTTATCGCCCGCTGAATGGAGGCATGCTGTGAATACTGTACGGTGCACCGCCACGCTCCTTGGATCTTCGCTGTAAGAATCGCGCGTCATCGGGCACAGTGACCGAGGGGGGAAAGAGAACGACGGTTCGTCCATCTGTCTATTCATTTGATTCGCGGCGGCGAGGTGGCCGCGGCGGAATTTCCGCGCGCCGAGTAAAAACGGCGGCGCGACGCCGCGACGCGACGTGACGCGACGCGACGCGACGCGACGCTACGCGGTTAATGGGCGAGCGGAGCGGCGCGGGCGCGCGGTGACAGCGCGAATCGGTTGGGTTATGTCGGCGGTCGCCGTCGTATCCCGACATTCCCGACGTCCCCGCGTTCCAATCGTTGACGAACGTTCCTTAGGCTCGCCTTGGATCGAGCCAAGTCGAACGGAATCAACGGAGCGGAGCGTCGCGTTGCCCGCGTCGCGCGCCTTCCGTCGCGTCGGCCTGTTGTCAAAATCAGCTGCCATTGCTGACTTCGGTGCTCCTTCTCTTTTCTCTATTTTCATTCGCCATGAAAGTCGTCGCGTCGGCGATCTCGTTGTGCCATAGCGTACGCTCTTGATCCCCCTGAACGCTCCTCTTTTGCGATTCACTCTTCTTCGTTTCGTCTTTTCGTTATCGTGACCTCGGAGAAAAAAGTGCCAATTAAGTATCGCGAAGATTTTCTTTATATACGATCGATTTATTGTCAAGATACATTGTTTTGCCTAGATTTGCAGCCGTTGAATCTTTTATCCTTTGGGAGAATTCATTTTCGTGAGATAAACGTAAGAACGTGATGTATTATATACATAAAGCTTGACAAAGAGAGTCTAGACTGACAAAGAATTTATTGAATGAATGTTAATATATGTTTAGAAGCATATATTTATTTATATTCATATAATTCACTCAGTTTTTATTCATAATGTTTGAGAATATGTTGCAGGCTCGGAAGGCTGGAACCTCGATTTACAGCAGCAAAGCAAAGAAAAGAAAACGTCAAGATAGAATATTTATAAAAGTTAATGTGAGTAAGAAGAGAAGTAAGTGGATAGTGAATTTGTTAAGGACAATATAGAGAGTAAGGGTAAAAGATAAGTACGAAAGTGGTAAATGCAGTGGCTGAAGAAGCGATGGACCCATCGTTGTTTGTCGCATACACTCCTCAAACAAATGGAGTTCCATCGGAGTCCAAGCTTGCTACCTACATGGTAATTCTTTGTATTAATGGAAATAAAATTATCTTGGAAATAAAATTATCGGATATGTATAAATACGTCTTATACAGAATCATCAAAGTCCTGGCATAGGCTTGAGCACAAACTCAATGACCAAGCATTTGTCCAACCTTTCTCTGGACTCACAAAAGAAGGTAACTGCCAGTCCCGAATTTGTGCCAGGAAGAGGCCTTACGGGCAGCAATAGTAGTTCGCCGAATCTCTTTAACAACTCTTACACCCATTCGCAAGAAAATGTAGGTGGCACAACATACTTCTATTTTGGGAATACCAGTAGCGACGTTGTCGGATCTGAGGATGGCACTGAAGCCGTAAGTCCAAGTCTTGACTTGCTTTATTGCCTGTTTTACCTACTTAACTGAGAAGATATAATAAGAAGATTTTGCACTGTTTTTTTATCTTTAATATTAGATTGGACCCGTAGCAACGGGACAGATTGGTTACGTCTATCCGGGTACACCTTCACATCTACAACCTGTGAAAACGGCAAAACCACCTTCTTCTAATAATTCCTCTGCTCCCTCCACACCTCCCCCTCAGGTTGCTCCCAGCTTCTTTGTCAGTGAAAACTTGCGACTGGACATCCTGCAAAAGAACGCATTGACATTGGCACAGCCCGATATCGTACGATTTCCTGACTTACCTAATGAAGTTGACAATTATCACGAACTATGTCCTCTGGAGCCAATTCATAAACCTGCTTCGACGGTTCTTGGATATCAAACTTCCACATACAAGGCCACCAGTATCAAGACTGGCACTCGATACTGTTTACGTCGTATTCACGGTGAGTTTAAGTTTTGACTCAAGAATTTTACTAATAAATATCACAGAATATTATCAGCTTGGCACTTTATATTTTGCTCGAACTTGATGCTTGTAGATTTTCGACTCGCCAACACCAAGTTTATGGTACTGGTTGACATGTGGAAGCGATTGTCACATACAAATCTAGTTCAGCTGAGAGAAGTTTTTACCACCAAGGCATTCGGTGATCATTGTCCGTATTTCAGATGCACTTTCATTTATTTTTGTCATCACTTATGCATATCGCACTCTCGCCGAATTAATTTTTTTTCCAGCCATGGTTTTTGTATACGATTATCACCCTGCCTCGGAGACATTATTGAATAAACATTTTGCCTCAACTGAGCTTAACGGTTACACCGATCCGTTCTCGTCGGATCCCAATGCACCACGGCCTTATAGTCATACCAAGAACACTATTCTAAGACAGCAACATAGTAGCATGCTACCAGAAAGTGTTATTTGGAGCTACATCATTCAACTCACTGCCGCATTTCGTGTTATTCATGCCGCTGGTTAGTATATACTATTTCGTTATCCTTATTTTTTCTGCCTTAAAGAACCATAAATATTTTATAACTTGTAACTTCGTATCCGCAAATTTTGAAATTTTCGTTTTATTTAATTCCTCTTGCTAATTTAATTCTGTAATAATTAATTAACTTGACCTACGTTTTACAGGTTTGGCATACAGATGCTTAGATCCCACCAAGGTATTACTTACATCACGGACACGACTTCGTTTGAGTTGTGTCGCCATTCCAGATGTGGTCACTTTCGATGGAAACACTACAAATCCACTTACCCTCATCCCACATTATCAACAAGAAGATTTAGTAGCACTTGGCAAGCTAGTCTTAGCACTGGCATGTCGAAGTCTTATCGCCGTCCATCGCGACAATATGTCAGCCTCCATCGAGCTGATTACACGTTCCTACTCCACCGACCTTCGAAATCTTATTCTGTAAGTTTGCAACCCTGACAATTGATAATCGTAATTACTTGATTTAAAAATTATTAAGTGTAAAGCTTTAGTAATCCACGAAAAGAATCTTCAACGTATATCTCAAATTTATTATAGTTAGTATGAGTTTTGTTTATACAAACATGCTAATGTGTTGATGGACAGAGCAGAAGAAAATTATAATTTCTAATTTCATTGTGATCCATTCTACAGTAACAAATTAGAAATATTTTAAATATAGTATGACACATTTTTAGGTACTTGCTGTCGAATCAATCCCGTAAGAGTGTCACGGATCTCATGCCAATGATTGGTGCAAGATTTTATACACAGTTGGATGCCGCCCAGTTACGATTGGATGTTCTGGAGAACGAACTTGCCAAGGAACTAGAAAACGGACGATTATTTAAATTGCTGGTCAAATTAGCAACCATCAACGAAAGGCCGGAGCTTAATATGGAACCTACGTGGGCAGAGACGGGCGATCGTTATATGCTCAAATTGTTTAGGGACTATGTATTTCATCAAGTCACAGCTGATGGAAGACCTTGGCTGGATCTTGCGCATGTTGTATCTTGCTTGAATAAACTCGATTCGGGTTCACAGGATAAGGTAATGATTCTTAACACTTTCGGAATGTGTGTACATAAAGTAATCTTAAAATGTACCATTACAGATATGCCTCATGTCTCGAGATGAGCAGAGTGTTTTAGTAGTAAGTTACGCAGAGCTACGACAATGTCTGGAAACGTCATTTGATGAACTGGTACAATCTACGAAAGATGCTGTTTAAGGATATGTCCTCAATAGCGCATACTCCGAACCATAAATGTGATATCATCACTTAGCGGTACTATCATTTTACTCTTTATCGCAACGCTGGAGAGTGAGAACTGTCGAATTGTGTTTGGTGATATAAGAAATAACGCGCAACTCAGTTTTGTATACATAATTTTGATCGTCGAATTAATTAAGTACGAACGCATTACAAATGCGTTGCATTTAGAATGTAAGATGTTAAATTTTCGGGTCTTTAAATCTTAAGGATTAATAGGGTCCTTAAATCTTTTTGGGTTTTTGGATTTTCCAGTTTGGATCTTAGGATCTTTAGACATAGGAATTCTTATTTATATTGATAAATTTTTGATTTAATCCCGGATTTCAAAGTGTCAAATTTTGCGATTCTTGAAATTCTGATTCAGCTTAATTTTTAAATTCTTATGTCAAACGATCCTTGGATCTTTGGAGTTTTGATCTCTTGGAAGTGGCGAAGCGTGAGTCTTGAAGGGTATCATGTGATTTCGCGAATCAGCGAGGATTTGGATTCGCTATAAAGCCCATTACGGTACTATACAAAAATTGTACACAACTTAACAATGCAGTAAACTCATAAGGAATCTTAAGACAACACCTAAACACGCTTGGTGTCTAGGATAGAGATCTTAGTTTTTAGGATACAGCATTAATGGTAAGCATTAATTTTGAAATAAATGTTTATTTTTGAAAGCAATCCTAACTAACGTTGTCATTATTTCTTCCTTATCACCAAAATAATTCTAGAATCCCGTCATTCCTTTTTAATCACAATGTTTTGAGAAAGTAGCCCATTTATATTTTATATTCTTCAACATCAGTGTGCTAAAATTTTTAATTTTTAACGATAAAGGTTTAGTAATAGACTCTAATTTCATTTTGAAACATCCTGTATAACTCTCATAGTTCTATTTCTATTTATCCAGTCGCCTTTCTCTTTTCTAGGAGGGATGATCACCATGGTGACGGTGATGAAGAAGGGGAAAGATTGGTGGCTGGAGCGGGGAGGATATGCATGGCGCCTGAGGGATGCCGGACTCCGGACTGACTCGGGGAGGGGGATGACTCTGGTCGGCAGCGATAGCGGCAGTACCAGTGACGGCAGCAACACGTAGTAGCAGTCAACGGTGTCCAGGCAGCGCAACGCTTAGGAGGCATACAGAACATCGAGATCCGTTCTTCATCCGACGCGCTGATTACGGTGCATCACGCAGCCGCATTACGGAGCGGATCTCCTGTCCGCAGCATCCTCTTCGTTGAGCGTCGCCGCGGCTACGTAGGCGGATAATTATCAACCGGAAATACGTTAGGAAGTCAATCAAGCTTGATCCTCTGCTTGGCATCTTTGTGGCAGGTGAGTTTTTTGCGTGAGAAGAAGAGAAAGAAAAAAGAGAGTGAGAGAGAAAGAGTGAGAGGAGGGAGTGAAAGAGAGAGAGAGAAAGAGAGAATGAGAGAGAACGAAACGCTGCTGCCACCGCCGCCGCCCGGCGTTGCTGATCGATTTTCCGCGAACGAGTGGAGCGGAGCGGAGACCCGCCCCTGATTCTCGTCGCTCTTCTCCGATGGAACGGCGGAGATCCGAGAATTTTTTGCGCTCTGTCGCTGGTCCAGCTTCTGCAGCGCGCGCGGCTGATACGGGTTGAGAAGGACCGAGGAACCAGAAATTATAAAAGCGGCTTTTCCTACTGTACGCGCGTATCTACTACACAACGACGATCGATGCTCTTTCAGTATCCACTTGCGCCCCTCATACACTATCGCTCTTGCTCCGTATCTTAAGTCGAGCTTCTTTATCTTCCTCTGTTTAATTTTTCATGGCCCAATTTTTAGATCCCAAAAAATTTAGAAATCTTATCTGACTTCCAGTGATTTTTTTATGGACATGATCTTTGAAGTTTATATGATCGTTGAATAATCATAAAAGTAGTATTTAGAGTATTACAAAAATATCTGAAACGGTCAAGAGTCTTTTATAAACAGATTTCGGAAACCGAATGATAAGAAGCCGGATTTTAAAAAATTGATAAAATTTCAAGTCTATGTCGACTCGATAAATCCGAGGGGCGATTGATAACAACGAGGACCGTGCTGATTGCAAGTTTCAATGATTATACAGTCGGCGAAATCTTATTCCTCGCTCAGAAACCCGAGAATTTTGCATTTCCGCTTACTGCTTTTCTTTTCAGCGTAGATAGAAGAAATTGCACATTCGTCGGGGACCACCTTCGCGTTTCAGAACGAATGGCAAAACTGCAGCGAGCAGCAATCTCGAGCAGCGCGGGCCGAGACGCGAAATGACGGCCAATTCGTCCTCATTACTTCTACAGCCGCGTGACCGACGCGTGGGTCTGTAAAACGGTGCAAGGTTTTTTAGGGCTGCGGCAGACAAGCTGTAACCTTTTAACCCTTTATTTTCAAGCTATTTATAAGTTGTGTCGCGCGGGCGCAATGGTAGCGGACACGGAGGCCGAGAGGTAGAGCTTGTTTCTAGGCGACGTGACGTCTAGTTTCTTGCTTTCTAGCCGATTTTGCAGCCACTCCGCGTACCTCTCGCACAGACCAAGTCGCTCAGACCACTTCGTTCTATTTACCATATATATATATATATATATATATATGTATATATATATATATATATATATATATATGTATATATATATATATATATATATATGTATATATATATATATATATATATATGTATATATATATATATATATATATATACATATATATATATATATATATATATACATATATATATATATATATATATATATATATATACATATATATACTGAAGGTAAACAAAAAAGTCCAGATCAAGTTGTGCAACAGACGGAAAAAAGTAATGCGAACGACCCCGGTAAAATACAGGATGAATTTATTGTCTCTGTATTGCTTTTTGATCGGCCTGTAGAGTCGGTAGTCGCCGGTAGAGGAGAAGAAGACAAAAGAAAGGTCGAAGGGCGGGCTATTTGTGTACAACTCATATAAATCATTTTCATTCTGTTGTGCCCTGGTGCTGATTGACTAATCAACGCTTTTCAGGATAAATTTGTACAGCGTAATAGGACGTGCATAAAAGTCCGTAAAAATCGGAGTTGAAAACTCTTCTTTTATTCTCCTACTCTTGTACGAGTTTGAAAACAATCCAAGTTCTAAGGTACTAAAAGTTCCTAAACTTTCTAAAAAGATGAGGATTCTGAAGAACGGTAGTCACAGCAAAGTTTTCCGAAATCCCGAAACATACTCATACACACGCACGCACGCACACACACACACACACACACACACACACACACACACACACACACACATTTATATATATATACCCTAGAAATAAAAGTTCTCGCGCCAACAGAATTTCAAATTTTAGACGAAGAATTTATTTGCGGTTCGAAAATTCGATTGTTGAAATTGACTCGATCCATGAGAGAAAAAGCCTTGCTTGCACCTCGATATAACACGTCTTAAATGACAGCGACATGAATCATGCGCTTTTCGAGCGTCTATTTCGCTTATAATTCATGCCGTCAATTCTCTTATCTTTTATATCGTGCGCAACAACGTCGTGTTTTATCTACAAGACTTATTATTATACTTTTTTTTTATTGATAAATTTTTGTTGATAAACTGAACACTCGTTCTTACATTCCTCGAACGCTCATTCCTACGGTATCATATTTTTCACACAACGCGATACTCTATCAGCTACATGACACTTTGGCGTGACGATTTTTTTTCCTCAGTCCTTCTGCACGAGTGTACGGTCAGCCAGACACCTGTTTATCACAGGTACACAAATACCTTAATATGTCTTCTCTTATACTTAACTTCAGGTGTTAAGGCATTTGTATCCTTACATGTATATATGATCGAATGAAAAAAATGAATGCTTTACGTTCACAGGCTTTTTATCAAGCATCTACACGCGTTTGCGTTTTCCCCGTTTAATCCGTTGAAAATAAAGATCTATTTTTTTTTTGTAGGGTTGACTAGAAACATCTACGCGCGCGAAAAAAGGAAAACAAGAGTTGGTGTGCTCGTACTCGCGAGTTGGACACACGAAGAGAGTCTGGACATCGGCCAACGTCCCCTTGCTCTCGAACATGTTGACCGCGTGTCCCCGGTCTATATTCGACGACATATTATCTACTCGATATCTCTCTTCTTCTTTTTCTCTCTCGTTCCGCATCTTTTTTTTCGCATCTCTTTCTCTCTCTCTCTCTCTCTCTCTCTCTCTCTCTCTCCCTCCCTTCCCCTTTTCCTCTTTCTCTTGCTTATTTGTACCGCGACGTTGCTGGACCGACAATAAGTCCGACGACGAACTTGAACAAGGCAACTTCCGTTCGCCGTCTCATTCACGTCCGGCTGTTTCTGATGCGACGATAATTTTGTCAATTTCATCAATCCGAGCGCGACGATTTTCCCTACGAATTGTTCAAATATAAGTGGAGATTTGCGTGGGGAGGAGAGCCAGCCAGCCAGCCGACCGACCGACCGACCGACCGACCGGTGGTGGTCCAACAAGATTGCTGACGAGTGCTGATTGTCTCAATGTCGGCTAATAGCCAGAATGACTGGAAAGATGCGTGCAGCAAAACGCACGGTACGAGCGAAACGCGTCGTCTCCAAGTTCTCTGGATTCTCGCACATCCGTTCTTTTAATAGATTATATATTCTTTGATTTTTCCTAGATCCACCTTCTATGTTCTATTCCGGGTTCTAAACTTGCATTTTACTCTGTGTATCTCAGGTCTTTGAACCATATTTGACATACGTCACAGCGCCGCCATTTCCTCTCTCTCTCTCTCTCTCTCTCTCTCTCTCTCTCTCCCTGAGAATCGAGTTGGAGCTTCGGGATCTTGGAAGCTTTTGAGGTCTGTGGTCTCTCCGCAACTCGTGAGAGACCCGTCTTTGAATCTTGAATACGCTTCTCAGATTTAGAACGGAGCAGCTGAGATTATGCCGCTGCTTATTCATGAATCCCGATATTACATAGAGAATAATCCATCACCATCTGTCGATATAGAAACGTGTGCGACACTCGTCCTACTATCGTTGATGATTAATTAGTTCCGCGGCCTTGATGGTCGCCTGGTTCATCGTCGTCGAAGGCGCATCACCTCCAATCGTGTGCGAAATTATGGCATCGATCTAAGAAGAGACCTTGAGCCAATCGTTTATGCGTTCGTATCGCCGCGCACCCTCCAATAAATCAATCTTCGGCTTCCGCACGCTGGACTGGACAGGACTGATGTGCGGACCAATCTCTTTTCGCCGGATTTGCAGGGATATTAAAATGGATTTTAACGTTATTGTTAACGTTCCAGGAAAATGAGAGTGCCGATTGTTAGACGGAAAAAAAATGTTCTGGTTGTACCAAGACGAGAAGAAAACAAACAAAACGAATTTTGATACCAATCAGAATTCTGATTGTTGTAATTGAACGTTTGGTTATCTCGACTAAATTGTTTCATAGCTTCAACTATAAGTCTAGTTTGTACTTTTCTGATTGAATCTACCAGAATTCTAATTAATGCAACGAAACTTTTTTTTTTCCACTGTATGGTTATTTTATAACTAGGTTGAAAGCTGCAACAACGAGATATCTTACTGTTTGAATGCACAGATTTTTAGTACGCTGCAACTACGTTTGTGAATTATTATCGTTATCAAAATCGACGAGGAGTTTCCGCGGCTATCGCGGAAGCGCAGACGAGATTGTTGAAACGAGAACGAGCGAATGGCTTAACCGCCACGACCGCATACAGACTATCTACTATCTAGTACTAAGGATTAAAATGCGAATGAGTCGCGATGACGTAAGATTTTATTTTTAGCGATCCCATTTGCAGAGCGATGCTACGATCGGGGTTAATTATCTTTTGCGGTTCTCTCGTTAAGGACCACTTGCCACTATCGCGAGAGATCGCGACGAATTGTAACGAGAACGGAGCGCATCGCCCCGAAAAGTTTAATAACCGCATCAACTGGGATTCCGCGAATTCGACGTCGACGTCGCGTCGCGGCGCTTCTTCCTTTGTGCCAGCCTGTCGGTGCCTCGTGACGTAGATCGCGAGTTATCGGCAATGACAGGCCGCTTTAATAGAGATTGACGCTGGACTGGCTTTAATTAACGTCAGCGTGAAATCCAGCATAAAGAAGTCTTCGCTTCGCCGACTGCCTCGCGAGAACGAAGCGCGAATGCACATAAAAAAAAAAATCAAAGCGCGTCGCTGTGAGAAGCTACGTTTCTCGGTTCGATAGTTTACGTCGTTGAGATTCATCACAATAATTAATTTATTGATTCAACTTGAAAAGTCGTTGATATTGCGAAATTATTAAACCACAATCTGGACCGTATTTGTGAAGAAATATTTATCGATGTCGAAACAATTCACTTCTAGCATTGTGAATTTACTTTGTATAATAATTAACTATTAAAGTTGTAATTAAGAGTGCTTGATGGAGCGTTCTCTTTCCTTTTCTTCAACAGAATGAAGCTATGCTGGAGTTTGGCTCTCGTGGCCGTCGCCTTGTTGATGATTCTTACGAATGCGCGAGCGGAAGCTGATCTGTGGGAGGAGGATGACAAGGAGGTGCTTGTACGGACAGTACGTGGTACTAAGGAACGAAGTGAGTGCTTCTTTCTGTAATTAATCTATTACCCCCCTTTCATCGTGACGTTGTTTTATCGAGCGGTCGCGAATATAGACCGTCTATATATATGTAACATACGTATATAAACGGCGTAATTAGAAGTCGTTCCTTGTCGACCTTAAAAATCTCCCCTGGTCTCCCTTCTTTCCTCTCTCAGCCTCTCTCTCTCTCTCTCTCTCTCTCTCTTCCTCTTTCTCTATTCGCTTGATCGACGTTACGTCCAATTGTTTCTATTGACGTTTCGCATTTGCTGACGCAGCATCCGGCAGCTCCTCATCGTGCAGATATGTAAAGGGTCAATGGTCGGAATGCGACTCAAATACCAACACGCGGTCGCGCACTCTGAGCCTCAAGAAGGGCGATAAGTCCTGCGAGCAGACTAAGACTATACAGAAGAAATGTAAGAAAGGTGAGTCCGCGATTAACGCATCGTCGCAAGAAGTGAATTCGGGAATGCATTTTAATTCGATCGTTGATCGCAGCATGTCGATACGAGAAAGGCACGTGGAGCGGATGCGCGAATCAGATGATGACGAGAATCGATAATTTGAAAGCGAACAGCGATACATCCTGTGAGAAGACGCGACGGCTCACCAAGAGGTGTAAACCAGAGACCAACACCAAGAAATCTGCCAAAGGTAATACCTCTCGTTCTCGGTCGATTGATTTGTCGTGATAACTCGTAGGGTGAAGAAAATTTAAGCAGCAAGCGCGAGCCCTTGTTTGTTTTTTTTTTGTTTCCAGGTGATCGATCGAACAAGAAATCGGGCAAGCAGTAATTATCCGCCACACAATCTCCAATCATTTCTTCTAATCGGGCAACGAAAGCGAAACTTTCATCTCTACGATCCCCCAACTTCTTTCGATCCCTTTTCCTATCGCTAATTAATTGCGAGGCAGAGGCAGAACACAAATTTGAATCGATCGTCGATTGAAATGTTTATCATATATATATATATGTACTGCCTAGGAATCATTTGCATTTTGGATGCAGACGCGTACCGCGTGACTGTAAACCGTTTTCAAAGTGCGCTGCAGCCGTCGATTAATTACTGTTAATAATTACGGGATACTGCATACGTTTCGGTGATCACATCTGTTCTCGACAGTAACTCCGTTATTAACCCTTCCAGGGTTTTCTTGTGCTATTGTATTACTATTAATTAGTAATATTTATATCAGGTGTATGTTGCGCGTTAAATTTTGGCTTAAATGTTTTGACAACTTCAACTTCCGAGTAAACATATTAGATTGGTTACACTTAATAATAGGTCCGAGGTTTGTATGGAAAATATCACGTTCATAAGCGTATGCCTGTGTCGAAGAGAGAGAGACTCTTCCATTTAACCCATTGACATAATTTGCAACGAGTTCCCCTGTTAGAGGAGTTATTGATCGCATAAAGGTATTCTAAAAATGGACGATGGCGAGATCTTGGAGGGTTAAGCCGCGCAATCAACCGAAGAATTGATTGGGAACCGATACGTAACATGTTCGAGATGACGAAAGCTGAACAGGGCCGATCGTCTAGACACATAGTGATGCAGTTTGTGCATTGAATTTTCGCGAATTTGACCCTCGCATCTCTCGATGCGACATTTTTTCATGCCTTGTGAATTCGGATATTTAAAGATCTGTAAGGATTCAGGAGTTAGCTTTCTTAGCGTGTTCTTGCAAAATCTGCACCACTGGTTGTTTGATTAATGAGCGTAGCACACATCGTAGAGCTCCCTGACTAGCAGCAGCCGCCATTTCGGGTTCGCAGAGGATAAGATCATCCGCCAAAGTTGTTCTCTCGTCTTCCCACAGCGATATTATATTATTATTAATATTATTAATATTATTGTTTATCATACAAGAAGCAGCAGCGACCCCCATTTGGCTTAGCTGCTGATCCACTTAAAATCATGTACAATATTTGTCATACTAAACAGCTTTCATTCGATTGTCACGTAAATATACAATGTTCGGTGTTCAAAGTAACTGTGTCCTGTATCATATAACATGCGCGAGATATTCCGACAATTATTACGCCGTCGCGAAGGTTCATCAATTTAAACAAGGATGCTCGAGCGAGAAGCATCCGTTCTGTGTGGCATCTTCAAAACGGTCACGATGAATCAAAAATTATGAAATCAAAATGAATGAACGATCAAACGATACACATCAAAATGACATTTGTCGAGAGAATTGAAATAAAATACGAAAAAAATATATTATATTATTTAGCACAGAATGTTCGCGCGAGCCTGATGAATTTATCCGGAATCCTCCGCGCTCCTCTCGGCAGGACGTTGTCACTTCCGATGTTAATATTCGCAATTAACGTTATAATAATATTGTATCAAGTGATAACTGGCAATTATGGAAACTCGCCAATGAGCATGAAAATCAAACTGAAATAACTCGTCGTCTCGTCAAACATGCACGCTCGCGCGTGCAGGAAAGAGAGAGAAAGAGAAAAAAAGAGATAGATCACTGGATATCTTTTCGACGCTACAAAAATCAAATCCCTCCTCCCTGCATACAAGATTGTAATTCGTTTTTAAGTCTAGATGTATAACCGGAGGGCTCGTCGATGACAAGAAATTAAGCCTGTTTGCGCGTTTGGTATTACACGCGAGTGCGAGTTGCGTCGTGCGGATGTGTCTCGCAAGAATGCATAGGGGTAGATGAGACCCGAGGAGAGAGTATTTTTCACATACAAGCATACAATAATATTTTGAAGGTATCTCTTCCTCATCTCCATCTAGATCTTCGATACACGAAGGAGGCTCGGTCCTTCAGCTCCGAAAGTCGAGAACAAACGTCGAGATTATCGGCGGATTCTTCCACGCGTCGGATTCCGAGGACCTCCAGGAGTTCATCTAAGACCCTGTGGACGCCGTACGCGCGGAATCGCGCGCGCGTCATCGTCAAGCGCCTAGTTCTAGCTCCCGTATTACAGCATATCATCATTACGCGTGAAGCGAATTTTATCGATAAACTAGGATAGCGTTATCTCCGTTTTATGGACTCTTCGCTAATTACTGTCCTCACTGATCCCACAAATTCCTCCAACCGATGAACTCGACTTCACCGGATACATTCGTCGTTCCCTCCACCTCGAATTGCCAAGGTCGAAGCTGTGTTCCGCACCGAGACCAGTTCGTATCAGGGACACACCACGGAAGTCGACTCGTTATGTGCAAAAGCATTCAATGTGTCTCTCATGAACGTTACATCTATTTTATAATGCGTACTAATTGCATGCGTAATCTACGGAGATCACTCACGCTATTCCTCTCGAAAAAGCTTTTTCGGTGTCCGAAGACGATTCCGGAAAAGCGCAATCGCTATACTTTTTATGAAATGCGCGAGTTTGCATGCCTCTTAGTTTTCATAGGAATCTTATGCTCTTAACGATCATGCAGGATTGCGGAATTTCTGAACCATCCGAATATGTCGTGCAGTTATCTCGGCAATGTAAAACAGATGTAACGAGTCTCGTGCTTGACTTCTCTGTGTGGAGCTCGCAGAAAGCTCTCCATGTTTTAATCGCATTGTAACATAGCATGATAGAAAGATACATCAGTAAACCTAGAGACTAATTTTTCAAATCCTTCGATAAAACTACAGGATGTTTCGAGGAGAATGCGTGCGTCGATAGCAAATGTCAGTGCTCCTTTGGAGAAACTTCGAAGCGGATTTCTCTCTGACTACGCAAATTTTTAATGAATCGTGAATTAAATTCTGCAAATCTGCACCTGCGCTCCGACACTGTCAAGAAAGATTATAGCACAATTTTAATTTCTGTCTTTAATTATATAATTCTGCTCTGGAAAATCCCTCTCGATAGTTCTTCCAGGACAGCTTTTTGCTATCTGCGTGCACTGCATCCATCCTACGGAATATATATAAATCATAGATATTCTAGATATTATAATAAGAGAATCGTTCAAAACTTTATTCGTTAGAATTAAAATAATTAGAGACATACAAATCACCCTTCTAATTACGGATCGTTGAGTTTCATGATCGTCGATCTTGTTGATGGTTTAATCTTGTTAGTGCAATTATAGAAATTGTATTAGACTGCTTTGACCATTTCCATTGGTATGACAGATCGCTAAAAATTTTCTACGTATTTCGTTAAGATTAAACAAATTCGATTGTACATTTTCCAAAGATGTCAATTTGTTATACAAATCGATAACTGCTTCGCAACGATTTAGATAAATAATTGTTAAATGTTATTTGTATAAATCGCTGATCGCGCAGTTGTTTCATTATGGACAGTTTCGTCAGATCGTATAGCTTAGGATAGCTCCTGAATTTTGGATGTACTGTAGCTCGATGAAATCGATGATTTTCTTTACGAACTACTATAAAAATTGTATAATGCATCTACTTACTTATTGAAATAATTGTGTAACCATTACACATGTAACAAAAATCCAATGTTGTCAATAAAAGTAAAATATTATATATACAAGAGTGATGTGATCCATTCAAATTGTGTCGATTGGGGTTTGTACAATTTCGTAAAAAGATCTTCGAGGTAGAGATTTTCATGATATGTGTTTTATTCGTAAAATGAATAATTCAATATAAAAATTACAAAAGTGCTCAATTATCAACATTATATTAGGTGTTGGAATTAATTCGTAGCGTTTTACAAGTGATGGGAAGTACTTTCATTAATGTATTTTTTAATGCTCATGTGAAATAAATAACATTCTTTCATTAAAAAACGCTACGAATTAATTTCAACACCTAATACTTAAAAAATTATTCGAACAATGTATATTTAATAATATCAAAGAGACACGTGGACGGACATAAAAAATTCTTTTTCAAAAAAAATGTCTTACTATAATTTATATATAATTCCATTTCATAAAAATTCCTTAGGAATTGCACTAATTTTCGAAAAAGGCACGTACGAGTCTATATTGATAAAAAATATATTTAGTACAAATACATAGTAAATGGACGGATATAATCATCTAACTTACATGACCAATATTGTGTATATGCAATATTGTGTCTATATATATGAAATGTGTGTCACAGAGAAAAAGCAGTTATAAATAGTTTGGAAGTTATTTACGTTCAATTTACGTTTACAGTAAAAGTACTAATCGGCAGTTTCATTTATATATTTTTTAAATGAAAGAGCTGTGCGATACGAGTACATTTTCGAAACGGTAATATCTGTTTTCACGCCATGGAGAGAGATAATTTTCTGGAATACGCTTTGCCTTCCCATTCTTGATCAGATGGCAATGGCTCATGTCGTAATTTGCAGAAACGTGCGCCATACTTCAGCATCACGATTATAATGCAAACTACAAAGAGAGTCAGGCAGGCTGTGGCAGGCCAGAAAACGTGCAAACCCATAATAAGATATTTTTATACTGTCTGAGATTACAATCTATTTGCAACTAGTGTCGTGTGCAATTATTGAAATAACTTGCGAAGCAAGTCGCAGTGGTGTCTTAATTTTTAAATTGTATTGATTTTATAAAAAAATAAAAATTATTCTTTTAATACACGTAAAAGCAGGTCAATAAATCTATGAAAACAATGTTGGTGGTGAAAGTTTCAGTGTATAGTAGCTAAGGCACAGGCTTCACAATGCAATTAACTGGGTGCAAAGGACTAATTAGACTCTATTGGACTCAATTAAACTCTTTGACTTTGAACGTATTCTTAAGCGTAGGTGTTACTACTACTGTTTTCCAACACTGTTCTCGCCAGTTGGTGCTGCCAGCTACTTTAGATCTCACTCTCGCGTTTTTGCATCTCCATGTACTCTTGGGGCTGTGGCGTAGTACCCTGAGACTCCGGATCGTGATACTGAACAATCTCGTGCCTCACTTGAGGATACTTGATGAGACCAGGTTCTAACTCGCTAAGATCAAGCGGCGGTGTTTTATGCGGCAATACAGTCCATAGAGGCTGGATCCACCTATTGCCTAAATCCCAACAGGATAATATGCTATTAAAAAATAAGAGAAACTGTATCAGTCGCGCGCGCCCGCAAAAAGAAATTACGTGATGTGTACTCTTACGTACAGAGACTGAAGAAATCTAACTCACCGGAGTTGCGATCTTGCCAATATTCACGGTGTCGCGAGCACCAACAGAACACGATGTTCAAGATAAATAGAAATACGCCTAAGACGGTGCAGAGAGCAATTGTGACATAGAATGCGGTGAAGTCGCCGTACAAGTGCTCCTTAAAATACGGATTCTTCAAGTATTCGTCGCGCTCGTCTAGAATAGACATGTCACAACGTTAACGGCCACGTTACTTGCTTATTTTCTGAAAAAAAAAGGAAAGAGAGAAGTTCTGTAAGTGCAGTATGAATGTCGCAAGTTATCAGGCGTGGCTTGGCGCGACGTACTACATAGAATGTGTATACACAACTTTGTGTACACCGATTGATGAATCACATAGCTATCGTTATTGGCAATCTTTACTACGGTACGTACAAGTACAAGCAGGCAGGTAAAAATAGATACTGATTTAGGTCAAAAGCAAATGTGTATACGTGCTTACGTATAAATTCCACGGGTCACGCGCGTCCTATTCACGGCTTAGGCATACCTCAATGGCGGTTCTTTTTTTTTCTCCTCTCTTCGTGCTGTCGATACCAATTCCTCTTGGTGGTAAAGGGCTATCCTGGAAGTTGGACGATAAGAAAAGGAGCAGGTTGGACCAACTCCACACTTCACATCGAACCTCGAACGTACGATGGAATGTTTGAACGATGTTAGATCACTCGTATTGGGCGGGGCATTTTGTTCAGTGGGGGAGATTATTTGTGACTTGCGTACTACTTCAACTCACATTCAATTAAGTCGGTAAGTTCGAGATTGATAAATCAAAAAATTAACTATACCGACTAGGATGATAAGTAAAAGCGGAAATCAACGGACGGTAACAGCCAACCTCATGTTGATATTTTGATTGAAATATAAATTTACGTAAATAAGTAATTTATTATAAAAAATGAGAATAATTTTTAAGACAACGTACAAGTTGATAAATTCAACATATTTCAATTACGACGAACGTTCTCGAGTAGCCACAATGCACATATTTTCTAACGAAATATCGGTGGAAATATAGTAAAGCAGCTCAGCCTGAAATCCAACGCTCTTCAAAAAAACCAAACGACCCCAATTCAGCAGTGTTTTAGCTTTGCGCCCGATAGCTTCACGTTCGTCTGATTTCGAGGAAATTCTGCTAGCAGTGTCTGATGTTGCGTCACTTGGCGAGTTAACGTCGCTCTTTAAACGACAGCCACAAGTCGCCCAACTGACTATGCTGCATAGAACAGGAAACTCGTCCGTAGTGAAGCCACATTGTTGCAAGTACTTCCTGCCCACGTATGACGAGTACTCGCATTTATGATGACAACAAAACGCGACGATTAGACCGCGTACATCGACCTTGGGTTCGCTGTTCATCGACTTTACTAAACAACGTATTGCCAAGTCTGAAATATCATTTTTTTTTGTTGTCGATTATAATATAAAATAAAAATAAAACATTGTCAATAGTGACAAAATGAGTGTACCAGTGGCTGTTCCGCAGAGATGCTTTGCTATGCCGACCTTGTATTTGATCGGCTGGATCTCCGAGATTTGATTCAGCTGCAGATCAGCAATGTCGGCGCGTATCCTTTTCACTGCGAGGCGACTTTCCTCTCTCTTAAGCTTATTGTCGCTTTTGTGCCGATGACTAGAACGATCGACTAGTAATATACAAGAGTTTGACTTATCCTTTATAATCTGCCCCAACCAATATGTTAACTGAGCTGTTTAAAGTACGACTTCATTTAGTATAGCGTGACTCATTAAAAAAAAAATTTAAGAGAATCAGCAAATACCGTTAAAATATACCTTTTCCAGCTCCAAATTCGATAAAACAAGTGTCGTCTTGCACAAGACCAGCTTGTTCCAGATGCCCGAGCAGAGATGCATTTTGGAGCAAATGCTTTCTAACTTTACTGCCGCTGGTTTCATCATTTAATTTGTCTTCTAGCACGTTATGCCTTAGAATCGTTTGGAAAAATTCTGGTAGCTCATCTAAACGGGACACAACATATATAAAGACATGAAAAAGAAATTCATTTTTTAATCAAATCAAATTATACTTAATAGGGTTGTGTCATATATTTTAAGATTACGTTTACATGAAATATTTACATATTGTTTACGTTAAGTTCACATGAATTTTCTTTATATAAATAATATAAGAAATGTAAAATATGTAAATTATTATTGAAAAAAATTAAGTTTTGCGATTGTTAATACATCTGACTCTAATATTGACAAATGAAAATATATTATATAAACGAGATGAAAGTTTTTGCACAGTCAAACAACAACAAAGAACATAAATTATTCTTTGTCATAAATTATTCATATAGATGATATATATTACAGTTTACATGTATAGTTTACTTTGTACATATATGTATGTAGATGCAGATTACTACATTTTACATGTAAACACAACCCTGAATGCAGATGATTTAATCATACCATAGGCAGCATGAATCTTCCTTATCACCATTCTTACGACGGATTCGTTGAGCTGCGACAGTGGTACGCGCGGCGGCGTCACGATAGTCTCATCATCCAAGTTTGTTCCTTCAACCACAAACGTCGGCTGCGCGTCCAGCCTTCGCTTGACGTTGCACACGCCCAAGTGCTTCGTCAGTTTGGATCTGTAGCATGTGCTGAAAGGAGACAAATATCATGATACCGCGCTAGAATGCATCAAATTTAATGAATACTTACTGTGTTGGATCCAACGGACATGGCACTCTCTCATTCCTGGTATCGCAGCCAGCGATGTCCCACAGTTGATGCTCGCCACAGTATCGATGACCTTTTTGCACTGTCATGCGGCAGAATCGCTTCTTGCGCTCAACAAAGTGCATGCAGTGATTGCTGTCCATCATATCTTCACGAAAAATTTCTTAGATACTTTTCTACTTAAAAGAGGTTTTGTTATGTTATATCCACCGGGTAGTGGATTTACGCTTTTAACCTTTCCGTGAGATTATATGAGCCTTGCTTCACCTTGTTTAATATTAATTAAAATTAATAATCTGCTCATCTTCTTCATTATATATTGTTAAAATATTTCTCCACCTTTATGCTTTGATCAGATCAATATATTCTCCCTGAATTCCGCTTGGAAGAAAGTCGTCGCAGGTTAGGATTATCAGTCTAGCAAGAAGTGACGTGTAATTCGATAACTATACTTATTCGCTGCTAGATGACGCCACTGTTCAATTTTCCCGCAAATAAATCGGGATTAGTTTCGCCAACGTTCCTAACGAGGGCGTTGCACTGATTATACCCTCGCATGGATATATCTCGAATTCGTCGATTTCAATCGTAAGCTCTCGATCCATAATCGAATACCGTGTAAATCTCACTCTCCGAGAGTACCGAAAGAAGAAAATAAATAGCGATTATTATTGTAATCGCGAGACTGCCTTGAGACTCCGTCTTGAACGCAATAAAAGATTCAAAAACTGATTCTCTCAAGCGTGCATCGAGGATACAAATTTAGCTATGCCAAATTTTATAGATCTTCTCCTCGGGGCGGCGGTTCCATCGATTTTCCTTTACAAATTTTTCGCGAATCCTTTCGAACAATAATTTCGAATTACTCTGGTATATTTATCGTTCACCGCCGGAGAGACTGGGAGAGACTCGCGAGAGCGCGCGGGTAATTCGCTAATGTAGAGCTTACCCCGATACCAGCCCATCTCAAAGTTCACCTTTTGCCTCCCCTCATCTTTCTGCCTCCAGCCCGTCCGACCCCTCGCTCCTTCGTAATTCCCTTTTCTCGTAGCTCGTTCTCTCTATCCCCCCACAACTTTTCCCCGGTCGGCCTTTCTGGCTGCCTCGCGCTCGCGGCGTTATCTATCCTCTTGAAGCGAGCTATTACCCGATTGTTTCTTAAATAAAATATCATCGGAGTCCCGTCGCCAACCACTCACAATAATAATTGCCTCGCCAGTGTGTCAACCGATCCACCCTCGCGCGCAACCCCTCATCTGTCTCACGGCCGCGCCGGATCCTTCTCTCTCTCTCTCTCTCTCTGACTCACTCACATTCTCCCCTACTTTCCTCTTTCTTTTTATTTTTTCCACCCCGCCGTCCGTCACGCGGATATGCCTGTACCTGAGAAGGAAATTTGACGCTCTTGTACAACTCGCGTAATGTCATGTAATGACGTGATATCGCGCGTCGCTCGCTTATTAACACATTTAAACGACGGGACGCGCGTCAGTGCATAAATCTATTCTTTAAACCTGTTGCTTTTGCGAGAATGGCTCATTATCGGCGATTCCGCGATGTAGACGCTTCGAAAGAATCTCAGAACCATGACGTTAATGGTGAAATTATTCTTATTCGTTTCCTGATTACCGACAGGACGGGGGAATTCGGGTTTTGAAAAAAACCCTTTACGTCGGATTAAAGGTTGGATGCTATATCCGAAATACTCTCACAGTTCAAGCTCGAAACACGTACACCCGTATTTCACAGCCGCAAGCGCTAACGATCCCCTTTTTGTCTCCCCGGCAATGTTCCGCAAGCGGAGCATAGCGCGATGTTAACAAGCAGAAGGGATTAAGGAGTAGATGGACAAGTGGTTCGCGTCATCATCAACGGAGTTCCGAGGCGTCTGATAAAGCACAGTGTGCTATGTTTATTCGCTGCGAAGAAGTATCGTGTGATCGCCTCCTTCGTCATTCATACGCTGATCTTCGTTTCGCGTTTTGAGATTAGAGAGGAAAATTGTCTTGAATGAATAAAGCTCAGCCTTGTCGACAAAATCAGTGGCATATCAAAAAACGTAAGCAATAAGACACAAAGGAAAGAACCGCCTTCAATGGGAGTAAAGTTAGAAACACAAAAAACTTCACACGATACAATTCTTCGAGAAAGAAGATTTTTTATTGTCTCCAAGAAATAACTTAAGGAAGTTTAGAGGACGTGATTATTGCCGATTCGCTTATTGCTTACGTTTTTCTAATACTATAAGTTCAAGTACCGCGAAATTAATCCCAATAACGTGCTCGCGCGTTCAACATTGGTTATATAGAGTCTCTGGAAAAAATCCAAAGTGTCTATGATCTTCTCTTTCCCGGGTCTCTTAAACTGACTCTTCGACTGGCGCGTTATCGACACAATGAGCGAGCTGATAGGAGGCCATCAATAATTACCTGGACCCATGCCCACCTAACTCTAACGAAGGACGATTTCTAACGATCCCCTCGCCAGCGTCCAACTTCTGGACGTAATTAATTCCCGGGCTAACCTGGAATGCTATAATTAATTGCCGGTGGGGATGATGAGGGGTAGAGCGCAACGGGTGCAACAATATGTACCCCGCTTCGATTAGAAGTGTGTGGGGGTTGGGTGGCACGGTACCGGAGGATAGGGGAGAGAGAGGGGCAGACGGTGGGGACCGCCTCCGCTCGCAGTTATGCAATTAATTAAATTCAGTTTGTTATTCGCCGTCGACTGTTAATTGCCGCAAAACTTCAAGAAACTGCACACGCTTGACGTTTCAAAATGCATCGCGTCGAGCTCGCGATCGTATTCAAGATCGCGATAGTAACTTGTATATTGTCCCCATTGTTGTTTTCAATATCGGGCACCGGAATTAGCGTCTACGAATTTTTTCTCGTCGCGTTAAAAGGTCTCGTTAACGTTCCTGTGATAATTCAGCGCGCGACTCCCGATCCGCGGAGGAACAGAAAAATAAGCACGGAAAGAACCTCAACGGATTACGTCAGTGACACGCTCATATAATTAACAGACGCGTGTACAACTGCGCACGTGATGCATGCTGGTAACCGCGCCCGTTTGACCTCGGATTTAATTGATACGCTTGCAAGACAGCCGGCAAATAAAAGATTAGGACGTAACGCGAGCGGTTTAATTAGCGAGGAGAGGTTTCCCTCTCTTTCACTTTCACGTAACGAACCGTCTTGCGGTTATGCCTGTCGTTTGCGAAAAAAAAATTATGATCCGGATTAACGAGAAAAATCGACACCTTTGGACGCTAAAAAAATGAATCATCGAGACGATGTTTCTTTATTTTTTTTAAATCCTATTAAAAATGAGATTTACGACATCACGGCCAATATTTACAATTGTATATGTGTGTGTGATGTATACAATATTTAAGAATGTCTTAAGTGCAATGTTATACAGTTGGAAAATTTATATTAAATTTAAGATATTTTATATGTTTCAAAGATCTATAAAATTTTTTTATTTTAGCACAAGATGAATATATTAGAAAGTAACTTAAATATTATATAAAAAATTAACGCAAAAAACTGACAGAATTTGTAAGTAGTCGTATTTCTTCTTTAAAATTCATTAATATTTATAATATGTCAAATTAACATATTTTAATAAATTTTTAATATATATCAAATTAATATATTTCAGTCATTTATCTTAGAATTTACGTTTTAAGAAATTTAATTATTTTTGTTATTTGTTCACATATTCATAAATTGTGTCACTTTGACATTAAAACATGTTGAATATCAATTTAAATCATTCAAATAACGCAATATGTTACGTCAAATTAACACTCGGATATACTAAAAATTCGACACAAAATTTTAACGAGGATTTGAATTGATAATTTTTAACATAAATACAAAATATTTTTTTATCGTGTAAGATGTCATGAACTAATCAGAAAATCGTATTAGAATCTGAAATATATAAGAACGGATGGACTACGAATATTGCCTGATGATTCGCTTTTTCACATTCGTAATCGGTCGTTGTATCGCGGTCGGAGGCATTTCTCGTTTCGGGAGTGCGCTTTGGCGCATCTATTCGGCTTTTGTTTTTAAGAAGAAACAAAAAGAGAAACTCTGAACGAGTAGTGGAGAAGAAGGAGGAGGAGAAGAAACGAAAACAATCGATACGACACGGCGGCAAGGCCAATCGGACCGCGTTCTATTCGCGGAGCGGCCAATCAAAATGCCTACTACGTCGCCAGCAGGCCCGCTAATTAGACGCCACGTAAATCAGTCCTGAAACTCAACGTTAATTAACACGGGTTTCCGTTGGAGTTGCTTAGCCACCTATTTATCGAACGACACAAACGCAATATGGTCGGACACGTGTACGTCCGTTAAATACCTATCCGACTGGAGAATGTCGGGTAGCTCGCTCGCGCGCACTCTCATCGTTACGTCGCGTCTCGTCGCGTCGCGTCGCATCGGCTTGAAAACCGGCCTTGCGCTGAAACGAAACATTCGAATCATTCGAATTAATTCAGCCACTTGAGAGTGGGCGGTAAGGAATGGTTTCGTGATCGATTTCCCCTTCCGCTTAATGCTAACCAAATTAACCGGGTACTCTCTCCTCTTCTCTTCTTACCCTCACAATAGTAATAGGAATTTTAACGTTGCGTCTGCTCGCTACACACCGACGTTGAAACACACAGCAGTAGTCCTGAAAGAGAATCTGGGATTACAAAATGGGACTGGGGAAATCAATGACATCGACCACGGGTGGGGACTTCCCCCGTTTTCTAAAAACTTGTGATTTTTATTAATTAATAAATCGTGTTCGCGTACGATTGTGTGTATGCGCGTGTGTGTTCCATGGGTGTAATTGTATTTTACAAGAGGCCGCGAAACCACATACAGATGTCGGGTCCCGATTACGAAGAGTCCGAGATTAATGAAATAACAAAATTAACTATAGACGCGCGCGGGACCGGGGTCGCGGTCCGCACGCGTGCCATTCGGCCGGGCCGGGCGGAGCGGAGCGGGATGGGGCGGAGGGACGGAGGGACTTTCCGTGCTCCTCGCGCGTCGCGCGATGCGATCGCTTATTCGCTTCCGGGTCCGTAAAGTGCGTTGCCGGGTGCGGTACGCAGCACGCGTCGCGTCGCTATTTCATTCACGACCGTTGCCATTTGCCCGAAGATCCCGTCACGGGATCACACGCTTCGGGCTCGGCGCGCCTCGTCACTCTCACGACGTCACTGTCCTTGGACGTCGCCTCTCGGCGC